ATTGGTTTGGCTATTTGCAGTCTTCTATGTTTCCATACAAATTTAAACTTTTTTTTTGTTTTAGTTCTGTGAAAAATTAATACTACTATTAATAAAGCTACTGTGAATATCCGTGTACAAGTGCCTGTGTGGACATGTTTTTATTCCTTTTGGTTAAATACCTAGGAGATGGGTTGCTGGGTCATTGAAAGTACATTTTCAACTTTGTTAAGCAACTGCCAAATGTTTTCCAAAAGCAGTTGTGCCACTTTACATTCTCATCAGCAGTGCAGAAGAGTTTTACTTCCTCCACCCTCCTGCCAGCACTTGTATGGTCAATCTCTGTCATCATCCCTTTTAATGTATGTGTAGTGATATCTTATTGTGGTTTTAATTGCATTTCCTTGATGAATGATGATGTTGAGCATCTTTTCATGTGCTTCTTGTTCTTTTGTATCTTCTCTAAAGTGTCTGTTGAAATATTTTGCTGTCCTTCCCCCTTTTTTGAAAAGGCAAACTTTTTTTAAAGACTGGAAAGATGAGGTTAATGATATTGAGCACCTTTTTATGTGCATATTCGCTATTCATATGTCTTTCTTGTGAAGTGTTCAAATATATTTAAATATATAGAAATTTAAAAAATTTTACCTTTAATTTGGGGGGAAAAGATTGCTGACTTCTGCCTTAGGATATTATTAGTCAATCAGATTACAGTAAAGCAAATTTATGAACATGAAATAAGTATTTTCACAGAGAATCCAAATTGTCTTTTTCACTTAGAGCCAACTATTAGAATTACCAGTAAAATCACCAGTGGTGATTCTTATTTGGTTTGGGTGAATAGAAAAATGGCATTTTCCAACATTGGATATTTTCATATTTAAAATTATTAAAATTACCACTGGGATATTTTCCCAAATAATTTAGCAAATTACTAATAGTGGTTTTCTCAGACGAAAAGTATACCTTATATATCCTTAAGATTTTAGAAGTATTTTCATTTGATCATTTTAAGTTGTACAGTTGTAAAACCTATAAAAGAGTAGTCCTGAATGTAAAAAATAATTTTTTTTCACTAATCAATAGATAGTTTTTGACTGGGTAAAGATGTTTACCATTCTTTACAAAATTAATTGGTTGACATTTCTCTTTATGTAAATAGTATAGTACTTGCTTAGTATAGAAAAGAGAAATAAAGACAAGTTGAAAGAAAAAAACACAGCCAGTCTCTCTTAAAATTTAAAGTAGAAGATTTTAAGAGACTAATAAGTAACATTCCATTAAGTGGCTTTATCATTGTTTACTTAACCATTCTGCTATTGCTGGGAATTTTTATGTTTTTAATTTAAAAAATTTTTAAATTTTTGGCTGTGTCGGGTCTTCGTTGTGGCACGTGGGATCTTTGTTGCGGCATGTGGGATCTTTCGTTGGTGGTGCATAGGCTTCTCTCTAGTTGTGGCACGTGTGCATTGTAGCATGCGGTTTTATTTTTCCCCTCTCTCTAGTTGAGGTGTGTGGGCTCAGTAGTTGCAGTGCGAGGGCTTAGTTGCCATGCAGAATGTGGGATCTTAGTTCCCCGACCAGGGATTGAACCTGTGTCTCGTGCGTTGGAAGGCGGATTGTTTACTGCTGGACCACCAGGGAAGTCCCTATTGCTGGGAATTTAAATTTGCTTTCATTTTGTTGCTTTTATAAATAATACTGTGATGAATATCTTCATGCATAGCTTTTTCCCCGTTTCATATTTTTTTGGTACAGGACCAGGCGGGATTATTTTGTTAAGAGTATAACAAACACGCAAGATGTTGTTAATGTTTTCCCACATTTGCCTTCTCTCAGTCTCTTTTCATACATGTATGTAAGTGCATATCACATATGCATATTCATGTACACATTTTTTTTCACAGAACCATTTGAAGGTAAGTCACAGATGTCAGGCACTTCACCTCTGAATACTTTAGCCTGTACTTCTTAAGAACAAGAAAATTCTTTTACATGATAACCACAATATATTATGAAGAAAATTTATAATAATTTCATATTATCATGTAATATAAAGTCTAGAATCAGAATTCTCTAAATGTCCCCCAAAATGTCTTTTGTTAAAAAAATCTAGGATCAAATTGAGGTTCATGCATTTTATTTTTTGGTTATTATGTCTCATTAGTCTCTTAATCTTAGAATAGCCCCTGCCTCCCCCCGACCCCCCTAAACCATGACATTGATTTTTTGAAGAGTTCAGGCCAGTTGTCTTGTAGAATGTCCTACATTCTAGATTTTTATAATTGTGTTTGTCCTCATAATTAGGTTCATGTTACATTTTTGACAAAAGTACTTCATAGCTGATGTATTTGCTTATTGCATTATATCAGGGGATATGTAGTGTCTGCTTGTCCCACTGTTGGTGGCCTTACATTTGATCACTTGGTTAAGGTGGTAGCTACCAGATTTTCAGTTATAAAGGTGCCTTTTTCCTTCGTAATTAATAATCATTTGTGAACCTAATTATCTGTTTGCATTGTGCTGACACCAAGGTGGCTGAGCAGTGATGGGAAAAAAAATCACAAAACACAGTATGTTTATGCCATTATAAATTTGTGGTTATTAACCCTACTGGATTCCTCAACTTCAAGATAATCCTACTGTGTTTCTCTAGTCAGCTTGTGTTCCCCCTCTCCACAGTGATGATTTGAAATCTTTTCTCTCCTCAAGCCTGTGTTCTTTTACCTTTTGTATCACTTTGAAAAAATGATCTTGGTTTCTGGAAGAAGGAAAAGGGGCTCTTCTCCCACCATAAACCAGCACAGTGGAGCAGTTAAGAGTGCTGGCAACAGAGTTGAGAGTGTGTGGCTCTGGATCCCGCTCTCACCACTCACTCATTTAACTATGGACTTAGTTATTAATCATTCTATTCTTGGTCTTCTCAGTTGCAGAAGAATAATTACCATTATACTTCACAGAGTAGTTGTGAGGATTAAATGAAGTGTAAATCATTGTAGAGGTCTTAACATGCTTCCTGGTGTATGGTGCATGTTCAGTAAATATTAGCTCTTTTTATGCTACTTCTTAAGAAACTTAATTATAAAGTTAATTATACTGTCTCCTGTATCTTCAACCTCTCCTAGTCTGTTGACCTCTTCCCCTAAGCACTGAAACTTACACAGATATTTTCTATCTTAAGCTAACTAACCAACCAATAACTAACTAAGAAGACCTTTCTTGCATCTCACATTTATCTTCAGCTCTTGTCCTATATCCCCCTTTCGTAGCTGTTTGTCAACTGCCTACATTTGCTGTGTCTGTGTCCCTTTTCTTCTTTCCCATTTCTGCTCCCACCATTCCACTAAACTATCCCTAAGCACCATTTCCTCTCTAAATTCATTATTACCCTTTTCTCTTGGTGTTTTCTTTATTATTCATAAAAGATCAAAGTCATCTTTTAAAAATACAGCTCTGGTCTCATGATTCTTTTGTTAAAACTAGGGGATTGATATTGTTGTTGACATTAAAGTTTCAAATCCTCAGTATAGTCCACAGGGTCCTGCCTAACTGCCCATCTTTATCTTATACAAATTTCCTCTTCACTTTAAGCACTTGAGCCAGGTAAGTCCTTTAATTTCCTTGAACAAGCTTTACTCTTGTCTGAGCATTTACATTTTGTCCTCCTTTTTGAACCACTCTCCATTTTCCACTTGTTTCCTTTGGACAGTTTCAGCGTAAATGTCATATTCTCAGTAAAACCTTCCCTGATCTGGTTCAGAAGAAATGCAGCACCTATATTTTCTGTTCGTATTGCTCATCACAGTTGTAATTAAATAATTAATCGGGTAATTCTTCTTTGGAATGTAAGCTCCATGAAGGCAGGAACTGTAACTCTTTCGTTTGTTGCTGAATCTCCAGATTCTACTAGTACAGTTGTTTTGCTAGAAGGTATTTGGTAAGTATTTGTTGAACGAAGAATGAATTATTATTCATTCATAGAAATTTCACTCATCTCTTTATTCTTTAATGATAATTCTAAAATCTATAAACTTAAAGTATTTGGAGTTTCAGTGCGTTCTATAGAGGTTCCTCTGAAGACTTCTATCCCGCTTCTTCCAGATGATCTGAAGATACAGCCCCAAGTGGCTGCGGCAAACAAGTGATTTCTTTGAGCTCTGTTTTATATTAAAAATACACGAACACTTTGCTTTCTCTTTCTTCATATTATTAACATTTGTTAAACAAACAGTGCCTAAAACTGGTACTAGGGAATAGAATAGACACTCTTCTGATCACACATTTCCAATTCTTCCAGCCATTCCTCATTTGACATTGTCTCACATCTACTTGGTAGCCTGTTCACAGTCCTGAAGAAACTATATTTCATGGTTCTAGAACTGAATACAGTTCTTCAGGTATTATCAGCACATAGATATGTTGAATGAGTAATGGGCAAAATGTAATGAGGCAGAGCTGGAAGTGTTTGGATTTATCAGTTTTACTTTTGAAATTGGTGTAGGTACAGTAAGTGTTTTAAGTTGACATATTTTTAGAAATAAGGTAAAATTGAATGTATCTTAAGACTGTGTAGGGTTAAGATTGTAGATGTTGTACTGTTACCCTTAGTTTTAATTATGTTTTCCAAATCAAATACTAAAACAAAAATACATTTTTAGTGCAGAAAGCGGTTGCCTCTGTGACATGATGTGCAGATGTGTGTTGTTGTTCCACTTGTAGTGTGACCAAGCACAGATTGGTTACCAGCAATCCAACAGCTGTACGTGTGTGTGACCACAGATGTAGTATACTAGATAGAATTCTGAAGAAAGTCCCAATTTAAGTGAAATGTGCTTTAGTTTTTCATGTATATTTGAGAATGATTGGCATATTTTTTACTTATGATATTTACTACTCTGGTTAATTTCTTGAAGGACTGAATTTAGAATTCCTGGAAGTTTTCATTTGTTACAATTTGTGATGAATTTATGTATTATATAATGTTTAGTACTGTATGTATTAATTATTTATGTGTGTAACAGGCAACTCAAAGTTATGTTGACGAATGTCCTATGGACGGATTTAGGACGAAAATTCAGAAAGACCCTACCTAAAAATGATGCTAATTTATGTGATGCCAGCAAGGTGCAATCAGACTCATTGCCTTCGACATCTGTTGACAGCCTAGAGACATGTCAAAAATTAGAACCTCTTCACCAAAGCCTTAATTTATCTGAAAGGTATGTTGTTCAGTATTGCTTTTGTTCAACTTACCGCAGTTGAAATAATTGAAGTCCAATAGTCTTCAAAATAAGATTGTTGGAAATGATCTTTAAGAAAATCTGCATATACAGGTGTGACTCCCTCAAATCTTAAAGTTGACAATCTTAATTTACAAAGTTAATGATTCTACATTTCATTAGATTGACATAGAATTATTTTTAAAAACAAGTATTCTTAGTGCATTTAGCTTAATAATTTGATTCACATGTACATATTTTTAGAGATTCACATATGATATAAAATGAAGAACTAGATATATATAGATGGGTAAGGACCTAGATTAAATATTTTTTGAAAGGTGTGTTAAAGATGCAGAAATAAAACAGGTATGTATATCTATCTGTAGATCTTTAAAATTTTCTGCATCTTTAACATACCTTTTAAATATTATTTAACCTGGGTCCTTACTACTTTTGACTTTGTGAGCTTCCTTGTATTTTACATGCGTTGTTTTTAAAAAGGAGATGATTTTGAAATATTACTCCCAGATTTTTGATAATAAATATGCGGTTTAATTTTGAAAACTAACAAGTTTTGTTCTATATTTTTTAAAAGAATTATATATGAAGTTTGGGGCTAAAAATTAGGAATTAGCTCTGGGAATTTGTCATCTGTAACATATTAATATTTTTAATGTATTTCCACTTACAGTTTTAACCCTTAAATGAGTATTTTTTAGGGGAAGTATTTTGCTTTCAATTAGCATATCCTGTCATTAGCTAGATGGTGCTTTGGTTATTTGGTCTGTAATCTGATAACGATTTGTAAGTGCTTTAAGCCAAGATCCAGTGAAAACCTGTTAACTTTCAGCACAATTATTTTAAATATTAAAGAACTCTGTCAAAACATCTGAACATAGTATTATGCATTAATTGTATTTTTAAAAAGAACACTTTTTTTTTAATACATCTTTATTGGAGTGTAATTGCTTCACAATGCTGTGTTAGTTTCTGTTGTACAACAAAGTGAATCAGCCATATGCATACATAGATCCCCATATGCCCTCCCTCTTGCGTCTCCCTCCTACCCTCCTTATCCCACCCCTCTAGGTGGTCACAAAGCACCGAGCTGATCTCCCTGTGCTGTGCGGCTGCTTCGCACTAGATATATATTTTACATTTGGTAGTGTGTATATGTTGATGCTTCTCTCACTTCGTCCCAGCTTACCCTTCCCTTTCCCCGTGTCCTCAAAACCATTCTCTATGTCTACTTCTTTATTCCTGTCCTGACACTAGGTTCATCAGTACCATTTAGTTTTGGACTCCATATATATGCATTAGCATATGGTATTTGTTTTTCTCTTTCTGACTTACTTCACTCTGTATGACAGACTCTAGGTCCATCCACCTCACTACAAATAACTCAACTTCATTTCTTTTTATGGCTGAGTGATATTCCATTGTATATATGTGCCAAATCTTCTTTATCCATTCATCTATTGATGGACATTTAGGTTGCTTCCATGTCCTGGCTATTGTAAATAGTGCTGCAGTGAACATTGGGGTGCATGTGTCTTTTTGAATTATGGTTTTCTCAGGGTAAATGCTCAGTAGTGGGATTGCTGCGTCATATGGTAGTTCTATTTTTAGCTTTTTAAGGAACTTCCATACTGTTCTCCATAGTGGTTGTATCAATTTACATTGCCACCAACAATGCAGAGGAGGGTTCCCTTTTCACCAAGGACACTTCTTTTAAAAAAGGCAAAAACATAAAAAGCTATGTAACAGGAATTTCCGTACTAGATCATATCTGATGTAAATTTAACTTTCTAAAGCACCCAAAATCTTAGAGTCAAACAACTTAGCTTCAGTAATTTATGAAGCAGTTTGCTCTCATTGTCCTGGAGTCCAGTGGTTTTCCTCCTTAGTACAGGTGAGCTATTCCCTTACTGTGCTGCTAGATCTAAATAAAGGGGGCTAAAGGAATGACCCTTCCAATCCCTTTGATTCTCTTGAAAAGAAGCTTTAGCTCTCTTCCAAATGACATCTGTCCCCTCATCCCATATCTGTCCTTGTTCAATCAGATCAGCATGATTGGAAAAGTGTAATGTTTCATTCTCTTGGAATAGTTTTTCTCACTACAAGTTGTTAGCAGCTAGATTATGTGTCCATGAAATTTAAATATAATGTGAAGAGTCCCAATAAGATTCTAATTTGGTTTTTACTGTGTGTGTGTTATTCTGTTCACTTACTGGGATGAACTACTAGTTAGTCCAGACTTTTTCCCTCAGCTCTAGGTGTCCTAAATTTAACTTGTTCCAAAGTGGATGCATCGTCTTTGTTCCCAGACTTGTTCCTATCTCTGTATCTCCTCCCTGTCTGAATATATGACTCCTCTTTACACTTAGTTCTTCAAATTAGAACTTGGAAATTGTCCTGGCTCCTCTTTTTTCCTTATCCTTTGTATCCAGTCATTTATCATGTCTAGTTATTTGTACCTCCTAAATCTGTCTTGAAATGATCTTTTCTTCATCTTTATTGCCACTGCCTCAGTTCAGGCCCTGATAACTTTGTGCCTTTATTATTAGGATCGTAATTTGATTGGGCTTCCTGAGCATAGTCTTTTTCTTCTAGGCTATTTCTCTGTATTGTTGCTGAAGTATTCATTCTGAAAGGCAGATGTTACTTGTCACTCTCCAGTTTAACATCTTTCTGTGGCTCCACATAAAGTTTAGGATAAAGTTCAAATTCCTTACCTTGGCATACAAGGTCCGTGATGATTTCACCTTTGACTACCTCTAGCTTTGTGTATGTCCACTCTTCCATATTTATGCTGTGCTTTAGATTTAGGAAACTACTGGTAGTTCACTGAATGTATAATGCTGTTTTATTCCTCTGAGCTCATGCTTTTTCTCTTATCTTGGGAACAATTCTCCTTTTCCCCTTTACTGACTTATATTGAGCTCATTATATTTAACATTGAGCTCATTTCTTCTTTGATTCCACCTGCCACATCTGCATTTGATCCCTTTCTTTGTCTTGCTAAGCAGCCTGTTCCTGTATCATAGCACTCATCACACTATACTGTGATTTTTAGTTTCTCTGCTTCCCTGACAATAAGCTTCATGAGGGCAGGGACCCTACATTTTATTATTTTTTCCTTGCACAGTATTGGGCACATACTAAACGCTCAATACATGTTTGCTGACTATAAGAAAGAAATTGCTTCTCAGCAGAGTTACATCTTCAGTCTCCTTGATTGAAATGTCTTTTCCTCCATCAGAACCAATTATCTGCTCTGTAATTTTGGGGACAATCAGGAGAAGAGATATCACAAGCTTCAAATAAGAAAATTGGAGAACTGTTTAGGGTATAGCTTTAGTTAGATGTTTTCTTTGTGGAGCTTGCTATCTAGACTAGGAGACTGAGACTTTTACATGATGCTGTTTGTCTTATTTTCATTTTACTTAGGTAGGATTTCATTATTTCAGAAAGATGAAAGAGAGAAAATTTTATTTATTTATTTATTTTTTGCGGTACGCGGGCCTCTCACTGTTGTGGCCTCTCCCGTTGCGGAGCACAGGCTCAGGACGTGCAGGCTCAGCGGCCATGGCTTATGGGCCCAGCCGCTCCGCGGCATGTGGGAACTTCGTGGACCGGAGCACGAACCCATGTCCCCTGCATCGGCAGGTGGACTCTCAACCACTGTGCCACCAGGGAAGCTGTATTTTTAGTTTTTAACTTAAAGTTTAAATATTGAGTAAACCAAAATTACTCATTCATTCCCAGAAATGTCATTTTTTTACTTTTTTAAAAATTTTATTTACTTATCTGTTTTTATTTTTTAATTTAAACTTTTAAATTTTATATTGGAGTATAGTTGATTTATAATGTTGTGTTAGTTTCAGCTGTACAGAAAAGGAGTGGCATTTTTTAGAAATTTTATGTGCGTTCTAGGATCTAAAGGTAGTGATCTAAGTAAGTTGCCTTTTAATGAAGATAGTTTAGCCTTTTAATTTCCGGATAAAGTTGAGAAGAAAAACAGAAAACACATGATACCAATCAATCTTGTTAAATAATGAAGAACAGAGTTTTAGAAATATCAAATTAGCAGTATGTGGGATGCATACATTTCTTTTTAAACAAGTAAACCATATTTTAGTGTAGGTTTTATCTCCTTATGTGGTTCATATCTGTTTTCCTGGGAGAATATTTCCAGATCCTTATAAACTTTGGACATTAGGCAAGAAAGAGCCTAGTGCGAGACATGTGCAAAACTTTTGAGACGGTAAAGCATCTTTCTCCTGTTTTCATCTATTGGCACCAGAGATTATTAGAGAAATATTGACACAGTGTAACTATATTCTGTTAAAAAAAAGTTAGTTCCTGGTTCTTGGAATTCCCCTAAATGGCTTAATTATATTTATTCATGTTTTTCTTAAGTTTGCCTGTGTTTGAAGTTTTAGAAAATTACATATTCCAGATATTGTGGTGGTAAGACTTTCTGGACACCCCGGTATTCTTGTAACCTTAAGAGTTCTTTAAGCCAGTAATGTTTTAGTTGAGTGATAATAATATTCACTTAAAATATAGCTTAGTAAAAGAAAAGAGCAAACTTAGGAAATCTGTGAATCTCTTTAAGAAAGTAATTCAAAAATGAAAATTTTTTTTTCTTTGTAGCTTAAGAAACTGATTTAGAAAGTAATATTTTGAATTATATCATCTGGGATAAGAATACATTTATAGGAACCCTAAAAAAGACCCGGTGCAGCCTAAAGAAAGAAATGACCATTGTTAACCAAAAAAAAAGAAAAAAAATGTTTTGATCAAGAAAAAAATAAGTTACATAGCACAGTTTTAGAAAAACATTCATCTAAATTACAACAAAATAAAAACTAAATTAGCATTGTAATTTTTTTGCTTGTTATTTATAGCTTTATTACCAGATGTAATTGTTATCTTTCAACAAGGGTTCCATTTCTTTAAAAATTTGCTCTTAGCATCAAGTATGTCTTATTAGCTCTTATCAGTTTTTCAAAGTTTTCCCCCATTTATTAAATTATTTCAATCTTATATTTACCTTGCTACCAATATGTGGGGGAGGAACTCACAATTTGTGATTGAAAAAATTAAGAACCAGAGAAAATAACCATGTAGAGACACAATCAATAAATGATATTACTTCTCAGGCCGGTATACTTTCTGTTTCATCTCACTGCATTACAAAATTTGTTTCTCCTTTGGTTTAACATATTATATGTTGAAGTGTGATTTCATAATATTAGTAAGTAAAGTTAAACAAATTCTGTTTTACTTACTGATACTATTTGCATACTTGGGAAAAAATTGGATGGACTGTGTGAAATGACATTTTTCAGTCCTTCCTTATATATTGCGATAGTATGAGAGATGAAGTATACACCTTTATATATTTCTTGTGAAAATTCAGAATCTTTTGAAATGCTGGCTAGCCCTAGAATTTCCATGGCAGTGCTAATTTATAAGTTGTACACCAAAAGACAGTTTAGGTATTATGAACTTAGTTATTACTTTATAGATTTGTTTTCTGTAAGGCTTTCATACAGAGCTCTCTGTTTCTTCAAGGTACACAGATTACATAAGTTGAGAATAGCTGATAGATGTTTGGGCTATGGTTAGTGTTATGAAGAGCTAGGTGTACTGTAGGCATTGCTAACTATTTAACTGTATACTTTTCTAATAAAATATTTTCATTAAGATTGCAGAGCATGATGAATTATGACAATCAAGCACTAATTGAAAAGATAATTTATAAGTTTGAGCAAGACTTCAATAATAGGAAAATTAAAGTGACCTTCCATTTATTGTATATTTACTGTGTGCCAGGACTTCTGCTAAACTGCTTTACATCTATTATTTCGTCTAATCTTTATAATTTTTTAAGGTAGATATTATAATTCTCCCCATCTTTGAGATGAGGAGATCAAAGATAAGAGGTATAAATTATGGTAAGTAACTTATCTAAGGTTATATAGTTACTAGGTGCTGAATTCAGAACCCAACCTTATGTTTGACTCTAGAGTCCTTGGTCTTAACCTCTGTGCCATACTGCTTTTCATTCTTTTGACCTTTAATTTTTTAATAAGTAGGTATTGGACTTTATTACATATTTTATGTGATGTCTATTAACCTTTAAATATTCTACTTACTTAAAAAATTTTTTTCTTGTGGCATTTGTTCACATAGTAGTAGAATGCTTTCTAATTGAAAGGTGTATCATGGTAGACATGCTGAGATAGTTCCCTGAACCTTCTGATAGCTTCAGAGGCCCTCTAGGGCTCTTGTGCTTTAGAAATGCGGGTTCTACTGCAGTTTGGTATATAATCTTTTCAAGTGGTTTTTTGGTGAATTTTGACATTTTTCTCTTCTAGGAAAGACTTTCAGCTATTTGTTTAGCTTAAAAATTCTCATTTATCCTCTAAGATTCTTTTTTCATAGCTCTGCTTTTTCTTCCTTCAAAATCTAGCAGCAAAACAAACCATAAAAGAATAGAATGATCATTTATTATTCAGAAGCTAATTCTAATCTTTATAATTTTTCCCTTTCCTTGCTGATATTTGTATTTTTTGTTGTTGTTGATTATTCTCTTCAGTACTTTTTATAGGACTAATCTTCTATGGACTCTTTCTCTCATATTTGGAGAGACAGCTTTTTTTTTTTTTAGGGACTCAACATTTAAAAACACATTTAAACATACTGTAGTCAGGCATTTAAACAGAGGTACTAAATTATAGCTGATATTTCTTTCGTATTTCTTCCTCTGTGCCCCAAATTTTCTCTTTATAAACACTACGGTTCTTGGATTATTTTCATTATGAGCCACATTTTAGAATTCAGTAATGATAGGGGACCATAAAAAGAGTGTATCATCTGCTCTTAAAATGAGCTATCAACTAGTATATCAGATTCTCTCATCTCTTAAAAGTAAGTAAAATTTTAATTGTGCCAAACTATTTGGAAAAAAATAGTTCTTACCCAATGAAATTCTCTCTTCTAATATTCCTGCATTTTCCCTAAAGCATTGAGAACTGTAGTTGAGTTTTCTTTAGTGATTTATTTCACAGCAATTCCTAGTGTGAGGTCAGACAGAAGAAATCTTGAGACTCCTTACTGGTCCTGTATTGTCTTCATTCCTACTTCAATTCGAGGATTTTAAGAAGGGTTCTGTCAGACATCAAATATACAAAGCAGACAATAATAAATAGGATTCTTAGAGATTTAAATCATGAGGGGAGATAGAAAAATATCTCTGTCCTCCTCTCCCCACACTTAGTGGTTGTACTAAATGGCTAACTTTCTTTGCTTTCTTCCTTCACTCAAACTCTGAGTTCAGAGAGTTGTATTTACTGCTAGCCTTGTTTTTAGATCATATACTGGTTAATCAACCCAGTACATTTTTTTGTGGAGGTTGTTCTGGAAATGGATATTTTTAAAGTTTCCTGAAGTATCTACAGAAAAGCTCAGTTATCTTGATGCTGTGGCAGGTTAGTATTGAGGATGCAGTGTAATGGGATAAAATTAAAAGAACCAAAAGATAATTGGCCAAGGTCCTTCTTCCAGGAAGAGTTGCTTATACTTGGGCAACCATTTAACTTTTCTGAGCTTTGAGTTCTTCATGTTTAAAATAAAGAGAAGGCTAAGTTATTTTAAAGTTCTCCTATGAGTTGAAATTTTACATTATCTGGAACATAGTGAAAAGAACACAGTGCCTCTATGTAGTGAAAATAGAGTACCTCTGAGAACTACAGCAGATGTAACAAAGTACAGGGAAGCTCACATTTTTTTACTTAAGAGTACTCTGGCCCTTTCTAGGTGTTATGTATTGTCTCTCACAAAAGGTCAATAAAGTGCTTCAAGTGACATATGGGTAACAGTCAAGGGGGACATCTGGTAAAGAGGAGATAGGAAACTTAAAAAATACACTAATGTGAAGTAAAAAAATCACAATAATTTGGCCTGGGCCAGTCAGTTCAGGACAGATAGTTGCCTTGAGGGCATCATTGTAGTGTGGAAAAGAACATCAGTTGTTTATGGTAACAACTGGCTAACCAGGAGAAGATTAGGCTATCCTCTTCTGTTTAAGGATGATATGAAACCACCACTTTAAAAAAGTTTGGAGTATTAAAAATTACACTTTACTAAACATTTATTTTGTTGACCCTTTTCCCTGGTGCTGTTATATAAAGGGTATTTATTACCATCAGTATATGTGCTGTTTCACTTAAGGACTCTATCATTACCATAGATACAATCTGAATGATGTCTTCCTTATTGGATTTAGCATTTGTCATTTACCAATTATGAGTATTGTTATTTACCAAGGACCTTTCTGTTGAAGGAGAAGAATAAAGATTTACTGAATTGGTTTGTAGTATCTGTGTTTTTAATAACTACTGGAAAAGAAAAAGCATTTTTTGAGAAAAACTGGTTAAAATTTTAAGCAACCCCAATAGCATCCACTAAGTACAGTTAAGCCATTATAGTGGCATGCCAATCTATGCCAATTTATAAGATACAAGTATTTCTAGAAACAAAAAAAAGAGTGTTCATCCAACATTTTGAGTTTTTATGGGCTGATTTCCAGGGTGGTATAATTCTAATAGCTTACTTGTACTGAGTTGAAAATGCTTGAAAATTCAACTTCCTAGAATTTTTTTTTACTGCAAATTTCAGTACAGTACAGTGTTTGTTATTTTATATGACAGGATACCCAGAGTTATATTGACGAATGTCCTGGGAACGGAGTTAGGAAGAAAATACATAAAGACCTCACCTGTAACTGAGGCCAGTTTGGGTGATACAGACAACTTGCAATCAGAGCAGCTTTCTTCATCATCTGATGGCAGCCTAGAATCTTGTCAAAATCTAAATCCTCACAAGAGCTCCTTTTTATCTGAAAGGTATGTTTAGTGATAACTTTACTCAAAATAAATATTTTACTTATTCTCATGAGCCTTCCTCTATTCTTCCCCCACAGATACGTTACTGCTAAATGAGAGGCAGCCGTGCTCTGATGGCTAGTATAACTTTTCTCCCCTGGTGGCTGGAACGGCTATTGGAACCAACAGTCCATAGCTAATAATCAGTTTCAGACAGTACCGGTCACTCTACTTGTGTTTTGGGAAAATGGAGGCAGACTCTTAATGAAAATTTAGTTACCTATTTCAGTTTATTTGTCTGGTATAATTGAAATTCATTCTCCTGACATCTGTCTATTCCTTCTCCTTCTTTGTCCTATTCATCCATCTGGCTTTCTCTCTATCCATCCATCCATCTGTCCGTCCGTCCATCCACATCCATCTTTTCTTTTTTTTTTTCTTTTTTCTTTTTCTTTTTGCGGTACGCGGGCCTCTCACTGTTGTGGCCTCTCCCGTTGCGGAGCACAGGCTCCAGACGTGCAGGTTCAGCGGCTGTGGCTCACAGGTCCAGCCGCTCCGCGGCATGTGGGATCTTCCCGGACCAGGGCATGAACCCACGTCCACTGCATCGGCAGGCGGACTCTCAACCACTGTGCCACCAGGGAAGCCCCCCTCCATCTTTTCTTATTCACTATTTGTATACTCATATTCTAGAACTGTACCTGGCCATTAAATATCTGCTGAATGAATGACTGAATGCATTCTTCACAAAAAATGGCCTGAGATAGCTGAATTCCATTAACAAACATGGCTTACTGTACTAATAAGAGAAATGGAAATCAGCAGTTGCTTTTGTTTTAAGCTTTAGCAAAGGCTCATTTGGGGGCTGTAAATAAGAAAAAAATTTGCAGTAAAAAGCTAGGGATGTCAGTTAGTAAATAGTACTAGATCTTTTAACTTTCATTTACCGTGAACTTCTCTATTTTATTTTCTGCTTTCCACCAGTACAATAAATAGTTTTGATCTGAGTGAAAAATTATTGATCCAGTCTTAATTGTCCCTCTACCCCCAACCAAAAGGTAACTTCTGGTTTGTATTTCTCTTGGAAGCCTAATTACATTAAAGAGTATTTATGGTTGCCTTTTAAAATATCTATAACAAATTTCTTAATTTCTAACACATTCTGTTTTTATAAACTCTGTTTATTTCTTATGAACTTAAAAATTTTATGAATTTTTCTCCTTTTGGAAAATATTTTGTGTTTCACTTAGGTTCTACTTAGTAAATTCTCAGTGACAATTTTAACTTTATACTTTTTCTGAATTTGATGAAAAAAAGAGCTCCAGTGGCATTATCCAGTTACTAATAAATTTAATGTAGAATCAGAGATAGTAGAAATGCATTTATCATTTTGCACTATAAGTGTTTATATTTGCCTCCTGTACTAGACCATGAGCTCCTTAAGGAGAGATCATATCTTATTTACATTTATATCCAGTGCTTAGCTCAATACATATTGAATTTTGTGCACTTGGGTTAATGTTCATGTCATTTAACCTTGACCTTTGTTTTCCTTAGTTGTAAAAAGAGAAATATATATATATATATATATATATATATATATATATATTTTTTTTTTTTGCGGTACGCGGGCCTCTCACTGTTGTGGCCTCTCCCGTTGCGGAGCACAGGCTCCGGACGTGCAGGCTCAGCGGCCATGGCTCACAGGCCCAGCTGCTCCGCGGCATGTGGGATCTTCCTGGACCGGGGCACGAACCCATGTCCCCTGCATCGGCAGGCAGACTCTCAAACACTGCGCCACCAGGGAAGCCCAAGAGAAATAATTTTGAATAATGTTTCTAACCTCACAAAATTGTGTATAATCATTTTAAAATCTCACTTGTGAGAATTCTTTATGAAAATAAAATACCATACAAAAAAATTATTATTGAGGATACTTTCTGTAGAGAAAGTCACTTATGTACTGTTCCCATGGAATTCAAATGACATGAGTGCACATTCATGCTGTTATGAAAAATAGCACTATTGTGAGGATTCTGTGAAACTATCAAATTGTAATCTATACTTTTCAGGCTTTATACCAACCTGGGGCTAAGGTTTACTAGTAACAACTCTAAAATTTCTGGCTCTTTCTAAAATCTATTCAGTGAGAACTCTAGGTCTCCTAAGGTCCTTTCCAAATAGTAAGGAAATTTCCAGGTGGTATTTGATATGGACCCTGGAAATTCATTCTCTTGGTGGTAATTTTCTTTCTTTGATTCTTGCATTTAGAATAGGCATAGACTTTGGAGCCAGATGCCTGGATTCAGATTTTAGCTGTACTGCTAACATGCTGACTTACCTTGGGCAAGTTACCTATTCTATTTTAAAACAGGGATAATTATACACACCTTATAGGATTATTGTGCAGATTTAAGGAGATAACCTATGTAAAATGCCTAGAACTTGATAGGTAACCAATAAATGGTAGTCACAATTGCCACAGCCATACTAGTATTACCATGTGGTTTAAGGAGTACTGTACTCCTTAAACCAAACTAGTTCTCTCTTCCCTTAAAATGAGTTCATTTTGAGGAGAATCCAGAGTGCCGCATAAATTTTAAGTATGGCCATATCATCACTTCACTAGATATGCCCCATTAAAACTAAATACAGGATGAATACAGAATAGGCTTGAGGAGGGGACTCTTGTAACCAACCTCCTCCTAGTTTGCCTGTCTTAAAATCAGAAAGAGTAAATAGAAATTAGATCTTCTCAGAAGGAAACATGATGTTCTGACATTATTGTTACTGTTCTCTTATTGTAGAGAATGTGGCCAACTTTGTTACGAAGATAGAATGTCAAGTAGCAACTAGAAGTTGGTGGGTTGAAGAATGGGGGCTATGGCTGAAAACTGAGGAGGTTTCCTCTGAAAACCCAATGCTTGTGCCCTTGATGATACATATGAAAAAATGTTATATGAAGGCTAAAAGTCTTACTTTAGCCTTAGCTTGTCTTTATTGTTCAGAGCTGTTATTACCAACTTTAATGACAGCCTGAATGTAATTATATAGGAAAAAAAGTCTTGTGTTTTATGCCAAAAATAAAGGATTAATAGAAAACACCAAAAGTGAATAGGAAATTTAAATTAAAATGGTCACCTTGAAGTAGCATATTTGCTTTTTCTAGATGCCAATTTATTTTAACATATAGATACTTAATTATTAACCTTTATACTATTCCTATAACAAATTTTAATTAATATTTATTAAGTCTTTACTATGATATTACACTGTGATAAATGCCATACCTGTATTAACTTATTTAGTACAGACTTGAATTGCAGCTCAGGCAATTTGCTTAACTTCTCTTTCTCTGTACCTCAGTTTAGCCCATCTGTAAGATAAGATAATAATACCTAGGTATGCTGGAGGAGTAAATGAGAAAATCACTTATTATCTTTCAATTTGATAACTTTTTACATCAATACATAGAGATCTATTTTATCTTCTTTTACATATATTTACTTCCTTATGGGTGGACATTTAGGGTATTTTTCATTTTTTATCTGTATAACAATGCCATAATAAATGGAGTTATCCTTTTTTATAAATTTATTTTTTAAATTTATTTATTTATTTTTGGCTGCATTGGGTCTTCGTTGCTGTGTGTGGGTTTTCTCTGGTTGTGTCGAGCAGGGGCTACTCTTTGTTGCGGTGCATGGGCTTCTCATTGTAGTGGCTTCTCTTGTTGCAGAGCACGGGCTCTAGGTGCATGGGCTTCAGTAGTTGCAGCACACGGGCTCAGTAGTTGTGGCTCATGGGCTCTAGAGCACAGGCTCTGTTGTTGTGGTGCATGGGCTTAGTTGCCTCGCGGCATGTGGGATCTTCCCAGACCAGGGCTCGAACCTGTGTCCCCTGCATTGGCAGGCGGATTCTTAACCACTGTGCCACCAGGGAAGTCCATTAAGTTTATTTATTTAGTTTTGGCTGTGTTGGGTCTTCGTTGCTGCGTGCAGGCTTTCTCTAGTTGCAGCAAGCGGTGGCTACTCTTCGTTGTGGTGCACGGGCTTCTCATAGTAGTGGCTTCTCTTGTTGCAGAGCAGGGGCTCTAGGCACACGGGCTTCAGTAGTTGTGGCATACAGGCTCAGTAGTTGTGGCTCGCTGGCTGTAGAGTGCAGGCTCAGTAGTTGTGGCTCATGGGCTTAGTTGCTCTGCGGCAAGTGGGATCCTCCCAGACCAGGGATCGAACCCGTGTCCCCTGCATTGGCAGGCGGATTCTTAACCACTGCATCACCAGGGAAGTCTCAATAAATGGATTTATATATATATCTTTGTGTACTTAATCTTATAAATCTTGTAGTGCCATTCTCCTGTACTTTATCCAGAATTAAGTGATATCATTGAAATATTTTGATGACCTGTTGGCAAAAATAAACATAATTGTTTTCAATAAATTGTTTTCATTTCAGTCATTACTTTTAGTGAAGATGGATTTTGTATTTCTCACATGAGTTTCTTCTTTAGTCTTTGCATGTATTGGGGTGTTTCATTTGTTTCTTACTGATTTGTAAGAACTCTTATGAAAGGTACTAACTCTTTGTTATATGTGTTGCAAAAATTTTTTTAGGTTTCCTATTTGTAATTTTACTTTGTTTATACTAACTTCTGTAGTATTGATACTTAAAGTTTTATTTTGTAAAACCTGTCAGTGTTTGACCCCAGTGTTTCGGTTTATTCTTGGAAAGACCTCCTCAACCCCAAGTATAAAAATAGGTCAGTGAACTACAGTTTAATTTGTGATGTTTTGAGTGAGGTATTAGACCCAGAATAACAGTCTGGAGATAACTTTTCTAATTGTTTTGGTTCCTTTTTGCCTTTCTGGAGTCTGATATAAATGTCTATGGATACATGGATTGCTTCCACTTTTTGGCTATTGTGAATAATAACACTGTTATGAACATCAGTGTACAAGTATCTGTGTTTCTGCTTTTAATTATTTTGGGTGTATATCTGAAAGTGGAATTACTGGATCATTTAA